ATGCGTTGGATCCGGAGGTTGGTGGGGTGGTACGTGAGGACGAGGGGAATTCTTTTTTGGTTGTTATTGCGGGGAGGGGGTGTGAGGGATGAGTTGCGGGAAATGTGGGAGACACGGTTGAGGGCGTTCTCAACCACTGAGGGGGGAAAGTTGCAGTCCTTGAAAAACGAGGACATCTGAGATGTACGGGAGTGGAATGCCTCATCCTGGGAGCAGATGCGGTGGAGGCGAAGGAATTAGGAATAGGAGATGGCATTTTTCAGGAAGGTGGGTGGGAGGAGGTGTATTCTAGGTAGCTGTGGGAGTTGGTGGGCTTGAAATGGATATCGGTTTCTAGGTGGTTGCCCAAGATGGAGACAGAGAGGTCCAGGAAGAAGAGAGAGGTATTAGAGATGGTCCAGGTGAACTTAAGGTTGGGGTGGAAAGTGTTGGTGAAGTGGATGAACTGTTCGAGCTCCTCGTGGGAGCACAAGGCGGTGCCGATACAGTCTTCAATGTAACGGAGGAAGAGGTGGGGTTTAGGGCCAGTGTAGGTACGGAAGAGGGATTGTTCCACGTAACAATGTGGTCTCAATGTGGATTTCACAAGCTTCAAAATCTCCCCTCCCACAACCGCATCCCAAAGCCAGCCCAGCTCGTCCCCGTCTCCCTAAATTGTCCTTCCTCCCACCTATCCCCTCCTCCCACCTCAAGCCGCACCTCCATCTCCTACCTACTAACCTCATCCCGCCCCCTTGACCTGTCCGTCCTCCCTGGACTGACCTATCCCCTCCCTAACTCCCCACCTACATTGACCTTTACTGGCTCCATCCCTGCCTCTTTGACCTGTCTGTCTCCTCTCCACCTATCTTCTCCTCTATCCATCTTCTATCCGCCTCCCCCTCTCTCCCTATTTATTTCAGAACCCCCTTCCCCTCCCCCATTCCATTGTCAAAAGATGATTTGTTTCTCAATGATCCATTGCAGCACTTTAGTTGTGACATTGAAAGAACGTGGCAGATTATGCAGAAACAGATAGGTTCATTTGGGCTGTGAACCTGGTAAATATAAAATAGCATTCACTGATGTATATTGATTAACCCAACTACAAGTCCAAACCTGAGTGCACTTTTGGTGTTCAATCCCCTATCTCACTGACATCTCCATTCTAGCGTTCTCCACCGTTCAAGTGCAGCTTCTCATGTACCTGATACATGAAATGCTAAGTAATCTGTGCTCTCTCCACGTTGGATTTAAAGCTTTATGACTGAATTTTAAAAACATCAGTTTTCAAAGTGAGTACCGTTTGATATGAAGCTCTGGGGATGTCAGCAGAGGTGGTTTGGACTTCAGCTGATTATGTCTTCCTGCAATCTACTGCTGTCCTGCTCATTGTTTATTCTGTTGCCAAGTTTTGTAACATTTGTAAATTT